AATTTATTAAATCTTAATTATATAATAATGTTAATATAATTTATTTAAAAATTACATATATTAAATGATACACTTTTACTCAAGTATATAGGTGAAGTGTACAAATACCTAATTTGATGTTATAATTTTAGCCATGTAAATTTATAAAAAAAAATTTCACTTTAGAGTAGTATAAAGTTAGTTTTGCTAAACATAACTTTAAATGATATATGTAAAATTTTATCGACGAATATTTAATAATATTAATTTTATCTCTTTGAACCTTTAACGACAAATATTACTTTCAAATACCCTCTGAAGAAGTAAAACTGAAGCAGGAATGCTTTATTCTAGCGGTAATTTCATATACAAAAATTGAGAGAGATGAGCGAGATCGCGAGAGAAAGGAGGAGGGAAAGAGGTATGAGTTTGGGCTTTAAGTTGTCATTATTTTGGGCTGAAAGTGCATTTAGAGATATATGGATCAAAGTTGGGCCATTTCCAAGTGGGCCTGACAGCTTACATCAAAGTGGTTGATCCATTTTTCTTCACTATTATGGGCTTATGTGAACTAGAGCCTAACGAATTGAAATTAGGAAAAATTATATATTATAGCAAACTATTAATTTAAATTAAATGTTATAATTATAGTTTGATTTAATTGAACCCCATGGCAAATTATTGCAATTTCGCCTCCCTCTCTCGCTTTTATACAAACACAAAAGTATAAAATATGTTTGTGTTTTTATAAAGCGAGAGAGAATTTTATATATACATATATCTTCGTTTCCATCTCTCCCTTCTCCCGAATCTCGCTCGCCTCTCTCACTTTATACAAACACAAATGTATATGTTGCGTTTGTATAAAGCGAGAGAAAATTGTATATACAAATACATGATTATACAAATACGATCTTTCCCTGCCAATTTTTATTATGTCTTTTTCTCTTTTCTCACTTTGTACAAACACATATTATACAATGAATTCTCTTGTATAAGTATATTGAAATAGATTATACAATTGCTTCTTTTGTATATACGTATAACGAAATAGTCATAGCAAACATAAAGTTTGTTATGGAGCGTAATTGTGCAAACTATAGCTACAACATACAAATATAATTTTTGTGTTTGCTATATGTGAAAGTTGCTCTTGAAAGACGTCCTATATTCGTAATCCAAACCACACTTGTTATTTTGGGCTTTGATGATGCTGAATTATAAAATGTAACATTTCTCAGTTGCCAACTCTTTTTTCTACAATGTAGGGTAATAATGATAATTAGAACTTTCCAAAAAGTAAGGACATAAAATATTACGAGGCAAAATAGTTATAGTATGATTAATTACGATTCGTAGCTACATGTCAGAAGGTGAGTGAAATTGACAGGTCAACTCTTCTTTCTAAAATGTTGGATAACAATGCTTATCCAATCAATAACATTGAGAGGTCTGTTAGTTCCCCAAATGGCTATTAACATAACTTGACTTAGGAGCAATACATGTAAATGGATTTACCTAGAAATTAAATTTGGATATTAAAATGTGAAAAGGACATGATCTTTTAATTTACAGAACTTGGACATTTTCTGTGAAAAATGGTTATAATGAAAATGATGCATCTACAAATTCATTAATAGTTTTGGGCCTAAAAAGTGACCCGAAAAGCCCAGATGTGAAAAGACGTGAAGGTCGTTATCGTAATCAATTGCGGGAATCGTGCGGTGGTACGGACCTATGAAGTAGTGGGCCGCCAATCCCTATCCTAGGTTTAGGCCCACACTCTTGAGAAGACATAAAGAATACTGTTTTGAGTTGTGTGTGGGGGGGGGGGGGAGGGGGAGGGGGTGCGCTCACTTTTGAAAATAAAAAGGTTTTATTTTTATTTGATGTAGTTGTAATGTAAATTAATCTACACAAATTAAATAGTGATGAAATTTCATAGTAAAGAGTTTAAACTTTATAAGCTTTCGTAGCTACAATTTGCCTAGTGAGGCCCAATAGCAATAATTCTTTGTTACGTAGATCATATAAAATCATTTGTTGATATACAAAAAGAGTAAGTATATATAAATTTTGTATTTATTTATTGAAGATTTTTTCAGAACTTATACAAATCAAATATATCGATAAGATAATTATATATAAGTTAAAGTAACCGTGTACGATTTTTAGATCTAACATTTTTTTTTGTATTTATACAAATGAGAACTGAATTATATAATTTTTTAATGTAGGTCACATAATTATGATTATAAACTAATGACAAGTAACTATAACTATATATTAGCTAATTAAGTATAGTAAGAGTCTTCTTTATGTATTCGTTTTAGCTCAACAAAGTTATGTAGAAGATAATTATTCCTTTAGAAAATTAAGACTAAAGTTATATTGTTTGCAGATGTAAACATAACATTAAAGAAAAATCAATCTTAACCTTTATTAAATAGTACTCTGTAAAGGTTTTAGCCGTCGAGCGGCACCACCTAGAGTTAAAAGCTAGAGAATATAGCTTGTATTTATTATTTTTTCTTAATATACACAATAATAAGTAAAATATTATTTATCATACTTTTTTGTCTATTTTTATTTATCTATCTATTATTGATTTAGAGTACTCTAAAAAAATAACAAAATTTTATTAAATCATTCTTAAATAAATTAAAGTTAATGCTTTAAAAATATTTTGTGAAACGACAATAAAATTAAATTAAAAATCAAGTAATAAAAATCATAAATTTTTCGATAAATTAACTCGAATTAAAACTCACCCAAAAAAAGAAAAAGAAAAAATATGTATTTTGGATAAAGACTTACCAGCACCAAATATTCACACCAAGTCAATATAAAATGTATTATTACGTAATTTAATAAAATAAAATAAATTATAAATTTAAACATATTTCATGCATAAATTGGCTAAGTGTGACGAGCGGGTGCGAATAAGTTTTATCGGATATTTTGGGAAAACCCATAGTATGTATCTAATATCTATGGGCTATGACTTCCTTGAATGGCGGCTTTTATCCGCTGGGCCGTCGCTCTCATCGTAATGTAAGCATCTTATGTTAATCAACGTCATTAAACACTATGATTAGAATTTAGAGGTATTAATCTACGTCACTAATCTTGTTTTAGTTCTAATTTATCATGGGTTTATTTGAGAATATTAACTAAAAGTTAAAGACATATTATTTCTCCCACAGAAATATGAGATAGATAATCTCAATTGTAATTGTGTTAGAATCGTATATGAAGATGGACATATGCAGGAACTCCATTAATAGAGCAGAGTATGAATGTGAGAGATGAACAATAAGAGAGCAGATTGTTGAGTTTTGAGAGAAATGAAAATTGCATGTTCTACATTACATGAGACTAGTATTTATACATGTGTATATAATGAACTTCTAACTAACTTCATCTAACTAACTAACTAAAAGAATCAGTTAACTAACTAACTCCTTTACAATGATATAATTAGTTGAATTAAGTATAACTAATCTTAACACCCCCCCTCAAGTTGGAATGGATATGCTGCCAGACAACTTGCGCAAAATAGTCGAATGCTTTGGTCCAGTGAGGCTTTTGGTTAAAATATCAGATAGTTGTTCATCAGTAGGAATGTGATGCAGAGTCACAAGTCCTTCATGTAGTTTGTCTCGAACAAAATGGCAGTCCACCTCTATGTGCTTGGTTCTCTCATGAAACACGGGGTTGTTTGCAATATGAATGGCTGCTTGACTGTCACAGAAAACTGATATAGGTCGAGAAGGTTTTTCACCTAATTCATAAAACAAACGTTCCAGCCAAACCAACTCTCCAACCACTTTTCTTATTGCCCTGTACTCTGCTTCTGCTGAGGAAAGTGAAACAGTAGTCTGTTTCTTAGATTTCCAACTTATAGGACAGTTCCCCATGAGTACTATGTATCCACTTACTGATTTTCTGGAATCAGGGCATGAAGCCCAATCTGAATCGCAATAGGCAGTGATGGTATAGTTAGGATCTTTGGATAAATAGATTCCCAGTGTATGACTATTCTTCAGATACCTCAATACATGGAACGCAGCCTTTAAGTGAGGCTCTCTGGGTGTTTGTAAAAACTGACTGAGATGTTGTACACTGAATGCAATATCCAATCTAGTATTTGTAAGAAAATTCAACTTTCCCACTAATTTCCTGTAGTATGTTGGATCAGTTAACAGAGTTCCTTCATTAGACTTCAACTTAATCCACATTGTCGAGAGGAGAAGTAGTTGGACTATAATGTGAGCAATCAAACTCTTTGAGTAAGTCTGTGGTGAACTTCTTCTGTGTAATGAGTACCCCATCTTGTCTATAGAGAATCTCCAACCCCAGAAAATAGTGAAGTTTTCCTAGATCCTTAATTTTGAACTGGTCATGTAAAAATGACTTTAAGGATGTAACCTCATCTAGATCAGTTCCTGTCAATATTATGTCATCAACATACACTGCTACAAACACCTTAGTTGACTTATCCTTCTTGTAGAACAATGAGTAATCACTGGTAGAATGTGAATATCCCCTTGAATACAATGCCTTCGCTAGTTTTTCATACCATTGCCTATTAGTCTGTTTCAACCCATACAAAGACTTGTTAAGTTTACAGACAAGTCCTTTTCCATTCACCTGCAGTCCCTGTGGAAGTTCCATATAGACTTCCTCATTTAAATCTCCATGTAGAAATGCATTATTCACATCCAGCTGATATAGATCCCAACCTTTCTTAACAGCTAGACTGATTAATAGTCGCACAGTGGTCATCTTCACTACTGGAGAGAATGTCTCATTATAATCAATACCAGCTTGTTGAGTGTATCCCTTGACTACAAGTCTAGCTTTGAATCTTTCCACAGTTCCATCAGCCTTATGTTTGATTTTGTAGACCCACTTGCATCCAATTGGTTTCTTTCTTGCAGATAAATGAACTAAACTCCAGGTATTGTTAGCATGCAAAGCTTCAAATTCAAGTGTCATTGCTGATTGCCAAGCAGGGATCATGGCAGCTTCTCCATATGTACTTGGCTCACTATCATGAAATATGTTTTAAACTGCTGCTGACTTTCAGTGTTAAAACTAGTAAGAGAGAATTGTTGATCATTGGTGTTATTGATGCCATTTGAAGGGTGGTAAATTGATGATTGAGGTTGTAAGTTGGGAAGGTTATATGTGTATTCATTTAGGTATTTTGGTACAGAATGTGTCCTACTAGTTCTTCTAGGTATATTTGTTAATCTTTGTGAGCTGGAAGTGGTAGTAATAGGTTGTTGTGAACTGGAGATAGAGGTATTAGAAATGGTGATATGTGGAGATATTTCTAGATTAATTGATGGAGTAGTGTGATCAAGTGAAGTATCAGCGTGTGGCACGTTGGCTTTAACAGAGTTATTAGTGACAGTAATTAGGGTGTTTTCATTCAAATCATGAACATTATGCAAGGGACTGTTTGTGCAGTTCCACAATTCAGAGTTAACATCAAGACACCTCAATACAGAATTAAAACTAGAATCAGGAAAAGAAAGAGCAAAAGGAAAAATACTTTCATGAAATAAGACATCTCTTGAAATATGTATTTTCTTGGTGCTCACATTTAAAACTTTGTAGCCTTTTGTGTTGAATGGATATCCAATGAAAATATGAGGAACTGATCTAGGTTCGAGCTTATCCTTGTGAGTTTTAAGAGTGGTAGGATAACAAAGACAGCCAAAAGATCTTAAGAGGAGTTTTGTTTTAAATAACTTTGGATGGTAGTCTGTTCACTAGATAAGTTGCAGCTAAAATGCATTCTCCCCAGTAATTCATGGGAAGTTTTGACTGATACAATAAGCTTCTAGCAATCTCAAGTAGGTATTTATGTTTTCTTTCTACCACACCATTTTGTTGTGGTGTGTATGGACAGGTTCTTTGATGTGTGATTCCTTTGTTTTGCAGAAAATTAGTTGTTTCTTTGTTGACAAATTCCATACCATTATCAGTCCTTATTGTTTTAATGGTGATACTGAACTGGTTTTCTACCAAGGATGTGAAGGCTTTTATGGCTTGAAGGGTGTTACTTTTACAGCTGATAAGTTGAGTCCATGTTGTCCTGCTATAATCATCAACTATTGTGATGAAATATTTTTAATTATCATACGTTGGTGTATGATAAGGTCCCCATAAGTCTATGTGGAGGAGTTCAAATATATTTGTAGAAGAAGGTGTTGAGTTTGATGGAAAAGGCATTCTTGCTTGTCTTGCCATGGGGCAGACAGTACATATAAAAGGTTGTTTGGGTGAGAATTTAACAGGTATAGTGTGGATACCCTTCATCTTAACAAAAGGAACATGTCCTAATCTAGTGTGCCATAAGTAGTCTACATTATTTTCATGAGATGTACACAATGAAACAGATGAATTCATGTTACAACAGGTTGTTTTATTTCTTGAACTAACAGATGAGGAAACATGATGTAAACCTTGTTCACTAGGAGCATGTGAAGAAGAACAATGAGATAATGGTGTAAAAGAGCAGACAGAATTGGGACACCTTGAGCAGATGAAGTAAAGGCCACTCCTTGCTCTACCAATCACCAGAAGGCTCTTCAGTGAAGGGCCCTGCAAAGAACATGATTTATCATTGAAAATAACTGCACTTCTAAGATCAGAGGTCAAACAATGTACTGAAATCAAGTTAAATTTGAAGGTAGGAATAAACAATACATTGTATAAAGTCACTATTGAATTCAAACATGCATTCCCAATCTCTGTCACTTTAACTCTATAGCCATTAGGTAGTGTTATTAGGAAAGGGTAAGGTAATGGTCTGATGTTGGTAAGTAATTTCTTATTGAAAGTCATATGGTTTGAGGCTCCGGAATCAATGATCCATGATTCAGCAGTTAGTTTTAAACAATTACATGAAAGATTACCAATGTCAGTGATGGAAGAATGACATGCTAACATACCTGCAAAGTTTGCAGCTCCACCCATGATGTTATCCAAAGTGTCTTTGCTGCTGTGAGATGATCCTTGCACCTGAAAATTTTCAAGCAATCTCACCAGATGATTATATTGGTCTTTGGTTAGATTTTGAGTTCCATGAGCATGTTCCAGTGGTGTTTCACAATTGCTGTGAGCAATTGCTGCTGATCCATAATTCCTTCCCTTAGTGAATTTGAAATTTTTGGGGAAGCCATGCAGCCTGTAGCATTTCTCTTCTGTGTGTCCTGCTTTCTTACAGTAATTGCAAAATAGATTTGCTTTGTTAATATCAGGAAAAGGATAAGTCCTATTGTCTTGCTGATGCTGAGAATGATCTCTGTATGTGCTTCTATTTGTGCTTTTATCTTGAGAGTAATTTGTTCTAAAACTTCCTCTTCCAGAAACAGCACTTAGTGAAGTAGAAGCTCCAGAACTAGCATCCAAGTTCATGCGAGTTGATGGCCTGACTTCTCGTTGCTTCTCTTCTTGTACTAAAATAGAGAAGGCTTGTGCCATAGTTGGCAATGGGTTCACCACAAGAATACTCCCTCTAACGATTGTATAGACCTTGTTAAGTCCCATTAGAAACTGGATAAGTTTCCGATCCTGCTCTGCCTTGTGCATTTTGGTTTTACCACCACAATTGCACAAACAAGTACATTGAGTATTGGGATCTAGAGTATTAAGCTCTTCCCAGAGTCTTCGAAGCATGGAATAGTACCCTGTGATATCAAGATTTCCTTGGGTGAGATCATTAATTTCATGTTGAAGTTGGTAGAGTTTCGCACCGTTCGTCTGATCATACCTATCCTGCAGTTCCTCCCACAATTCTCTTGCATTATTAACATACTTCAGACTATCAGCTAAATCCTTTGATAGAGAATTGAGGATCCATGATGTAACAATATCATCACAACGTTCCCACTGAGCAAATGTGGGTGAATTTTCAGTTGGTTTCTGCACCTTGCCATTAACGAAGCCTACTTTGTTTTTCACAGATAATGCACGAAGAACTCCACGTCGCCATGATCTGTAACCAGCTCCGTCAAAAATCACCAGAATTATAGCAGATCCAGCACTTTCTGATGGATGCATGTACAGTGGCTGACTAGCATCGATGACTCGCTGATTTGGAGTTGGAGGGACATCTGCATTTTGATCCATGAGATTGCAAGATGTTGATGAAAAATTGTGCTGAGCCTTCGTGATCTAAGAACAGAAATCGAAAAAAATTTCGAGAAGATGAAGAACAGTTGCTTTGTGGAAGAAAATGAAGAATCGATGAATGCTGCAGAAGATGAAGAAGAGATCAATGTCTTCGCTCTGATACCATGTTAGAATCGTATATGAAGATGGAGATATGCAGGAACTCCATTAATAGAGCAGAGTATGAATGTGAGAGATGAACAATAAGAGAGCAGATTGTTGAGTTTTGAGAGAAATGAAAATTGCATGTTCTACATTACATGAGACTAGTATTTATACATGTGTATATAATGAACTTCTAACTAACTTCATCTAACTAACTAACTAACAGAATCAGTTAACTAACTAACTCCTTTACAATGATATAATTAGTTGAATTAAGTATAACTAATCTTAACAAATTGTAGAATATAATTCTGATTATAATTTGAGAATAATCTGATTGGACTCTCAAATTAAACTTCCCACACTTAGATTCTTATATGTTTACTTATCTTCAATTTAATTATCTCATTTAGGCAACACTTTACCAAAAGTTGTTATAAAATATAATATATTAACTTTAATTTAAAAAAGTTAAGATTTTTTTTTTTAAAAAAGGAAAATTTTGGACTATAATACCCTGATTAAGGTATTATTAAATATTTAAGTAACAGAATAATAAATATTGAGAAGCTTAGAAAAAAACTTTTTTTTAGATAATATGATCTAATATGTTCAAAGTTCAAACGGTCAACAATAAGATATAATTAATGCATCACTTTGAGTTCAAATACTTGTAATAATAATAATAAATTTAACATGTTATTCATGCATGGCATAAACGTCGATATATATTAACAATTCTAGATGTTAGTCATTAGCCATTTTATATATTTTGGTAATGTGTTTGTATTTGTATAAAGCAGAGAAAAATGTATATATATAAACACAAACACATATATTTTAGTTCTATACAATTATACGTATAAAAGTATAAATTTTAATTATATAAATTATAATGTATAAATGAATTTATATAAAATTGAACAATCTGAATAAAATTGATTATATGTAGCGAATTATACAAATCAAAAGCTCTATAGCAAATATTAAATTTGCGTAATTATATAAATTATTACAATAACATATAAACTTTTTATATTTATTATTGTTGATCAGTGAATAATATCAACAAACTTATGGTGTGAAGAATCTATTAAAAGTTAGTTAGAAGCAAGTTTAGTGTGAGTTAGTTAGTTAGTTACAAATAAATCATTAGATTAGTATTTGTATAAATAGAGTTAGAATGTAGTCCAGATTCAATGTAACAAAAATACTCTTCTCTTTGAATATACTTCTTCTTCCTCTTCTCTGCAAAATCTCTATAATTCAAACTCCTTCTATGGAGTTATCATGGTATCAAAGCCATTGATCGTAGCTAGCTTCTGCTAAAATCAACTTCAGATGTTTAGATTCACCAACAGATTCAGGTGATTTCGAAGAAGAACAACATTCAAAGTATGGCAGTTAATAGCTCTAGTGAAAGAGAAATAACTGGTAATGGTGGAGCTGGTAGTGGTACTACAAGCACAGCTTCATTTCCAGCAATTGATCATAATCATCCACTCTATCTTCAACACACTGATACTGCAGGTAGTTCTTTAATTTCCCTACAGCTCACTGGTTCTGAAAATTATGCCTTATGGAGTAGATCCTTCAGAATTCGGCTGATAGGTAGGAGCAAATTAGGATTTGTTGATGGAAGATTTCCTAAATCTATATTCGAACCTGAATTACATGATCTGTGGGAGAAATGTAATGCAGTAGTACT